CGAGTTGCTTAGGGCCTCAATCTTTGATGCGATCGCGCGACACGATGGCGAAGATCACGTCGCCGACATGCAGAAGAAGTTCGAGAATCACTGGATGTCATGGTGTAATCGGCACGGGACGACCATGGGGCCTCTGATCGCACGAGCCTCGAACGAGGGGAAATCCGAGGTCGCGGACAACCTGGGAGACCAAGAGGCTGATCGGTTGGATGAGGACTCCGATGACGATCCGGATTTCGAGCCAGATGAGGATACCGGGGGCTCGGATGACGACTCGGAGGATGGTCTGGGCAACAGCTCTGACTCTGACGGCGACGACGACAGGAAGAACGACCCCGCGGACGACCTCGACGAGCTCTTGGACGAACACGCTCCGTACAATGTAGATCCTCGTACACGTGCCCCACGGAAGACGGGCAAGGGGAAAGGGAAGGGGAGAGCGAAGGGCTCTCGAGTCACGGGCAAGCGGCGGCGTGGACCTCTCCAGCCCCTTCGAGAACGCCGGTCGCCCCGCTGGCAGGCAGCGGATGGTATCCCGGTCATCCTGCCCTCTTCCTGCCCAGCGTCCGTGCGCGAAAGACCTTGCATGGCCTCGGCGGTGGAGATCGAGATCGCCCTCCGTGTAGGGCAAGCTAACGACGCTCTGAATACGCTGCGGACGCAGCTGATCACGAGCTATACTTTCCGGAATCGGGTGGCGAAACGTGACAAGCGGGTGGCAGAAGGACACGTTATGGCGACGAGGTCGAAGTCGGGGATTTACAGCAAGGAGCGAAGTGTTCGCAATGCGGCAAACGAATACCGGCGGGCCTATCAAGCACTGGTCACCCTCGGGTACGATAACGAGGAACAGCGGTTGAAGCGTCTTGAGGACAAGGATGTTAGGCCCTTCGACATCAGCATGGACAATCAAGAACTGGGCCAGAGCAAGAGGCAGCCGTCTTGGATCTGGGACGAGCTCGAGTTCCTAGACACTACCAAGGTGTCGGAGAACTTTGAATCATACGCGGAGGAAGGCAAGTACAGGAGGGTGTATTGTATCATTTCGTAACGCTGACAATCTCGGGCAGTCATCAAGGTTCATTGGTTCCGGATGAGTGCGCTAAAGGCGAGGTGGGAAGAAGAGGTAGCGGTCGTCCATGAAGAGATGGCCCGTACGGTCCGCTTCTTCAAGTTTCACCAACACTTCTGGCTCGATGTCGGCGAGAAGCATGATGAATCAGGGATGAGGGGGCACGGCGCGTATGCACGAAAGTCAGTATTTAATATTGCGTTCGTTCACGAGAGGCCCTGATGTCCTCCAGGCAAGCATACATGTATGAGCGACTTGTAGGCGGATGCTCCTCGGCATTCAAAGATATTCCGGAAATCAGGGTGGTGAGTATCAGCGCGTTTTCCCGTGACCTCATCTCTTATTCTCTCGACAGTCCGAGATACACCACTACGTGGAAGATGAAACGGGTTGCTGGATCAAGTACATCTACAACCCCGAATCGATCTCTTATACACCGCGCGCATAGGAGCGGCACGCCCTGCTGTCGGCTGGTTCCGCCGTTGGCCCCTCAAGCAGGAAGCCTCTCTTTTCAGGTGTTTCGGCGAGGGGCCCCGCTACTCTATCGCTGAGTTTCATGCTCGGTTGCGCTGCTTGGAAATTATTGTAATTACGGTAAGGTTGTAGTATTGTACATGGTATGTCTTAGCCACGGCCAGCCACGGTAACGTCTGAGCCACGCCAATGTCTGAGCCACGGTAACGTCTGAGCCACGCCAGTGTCTGAGCCACGGTAACGTCTGAGCCACGCCAACGTCTGAGCCGCGCCGGTGTCTTAGCCGTGCCGTGGTCTTAGCTAACGAAACACTATGCGGGGTAATTCACCAGTAAATGCCTTATATCAGGAAAATAGTGTATGGGTGGTAGAACATAAGACTTGAGCAGCTAAGACAAGGTGAAAAAATGGTAATGTATCATAATTCCGTTTCTCTACTTTCAAGAGCTTATGCCCCAGTGGCGTGG